TCAAACTCAAATGTGCAGAGGTCTTGTTAAAAACAGGTTCTTATTCAGTAAGTCTGGGTTGGGACATGAGATTCTGTATTTCTTTTTTTTTTTTTATGTTTAGAGAGGGGAAAGGAGGAAAAAAGAGGGCAAGAAACATCAATGCAAGAGAGAAACATTGACTGGTTTCCTTCCATACGTGCCCTGACTGGGGACCAACCTGCAACCCAAGGCACGTGTGGCGACCTTTCACTTTGCGGGACAACGCCCAACCAACTGAGCCACACCAATCAGGGCTGAGGTTCTGTGTTTCTAACAAGCTCTTACTTAGGTGATGCCTCTTGTCCTAGTCTGGGGACACTTGGAGACCAAGGCCCTACGTGATTGTAGTTACTTGATGTCTGATAGTCTCTCTCCCCTCAGGCCTTTGCACGCTCAGTACATCCTGCTGGGGACATCTGTCTTGCCTTCCTCCCCTGGCTAAATCCTCTGTCAAAGCTTTTAGAACTTACCTTGGTCAGGACATGGTGGTGTCCTGCCCTCCCACTAGGCTGTGAGCCCCTGGAGGGCAGGCCCTGTGGGTTTTATTCCTGTATCTGCAGTGTCCACACAGTGGCTGGCGTGTGAGCATGAAGTGAATGAGCAATGGGTGAGAAAGCAAGTGCCCCCTGATACCATGCCCCCTGGTACAGTGGGGTAGTTGAATATATTTGCTAGCATCCCATAGGCACTGGATAAATGGATGTCATCATTGATCATCAGTAGTTAAAAGATTTTATAATCAAGTTATAACCTCTCTTACATCTCCAACTATAAGCTCTCTTATAAAGATGCTAACCTGAGAGCAGTGTATGGGCAGGCTTCGTAAGCAGAGGGGGACTGAGGATTAACCTGCACCCAAAGCCCATTCTAGACCCTGGAGTTTTGTCCTCCTGTCTAGCTGGTGAGGCAGGTGATAATTCCATTTTGCTGATGAGGAAACTGTTTGGAGAAGTTTCCAGTTCACATTTTTAGGTCTATAAAGTGGTGGATTAGGATTCTGAGGCAGGACTTTGAAATCTGGGTTCTGTGACACCCCTGAGCCCCTTTGTCTTGGAAGCTTTACCAAAACTGGACTGAGAATTATGATGATCTGTATGAAAAGGGGAGCTTTCACTTATGTTCCTTGTTTTCTAACTTGGGCAAGTAGCTTGGAAAGTTGTTGGACACCAGCGGACTAGCCAGGCACCTCATTGGCCTTGGCCTTTCAGAGAAAATCTTTATCAGAATTTATTTGCAAGGTAGGTTATGAAGATTTGGAATTTGCTTCAAATTTCTCTGTCAAGCTCCTCTTTAAGCAGATATTTCCCAATTCAAAAGAGACCAGTTATTTTAGATGTTTATCTTTATAGATCTGAATTCACTGCTTTTTCTTAGTTTTACAAGAACATGTCTTCTCGATAAGCCACTATTAAGCTGAATAGGTTTTGCCACTCCTACAAATCTTAGCCTGGTAATGACTAACATTGAGCTCAATAAGTGAGGATAATTTCCGAATGCTTGGCTTTGTTTTAAAGGGCAAGGTTTTGGAAGCAGTCTCCCAGTTCTTTATCCAGGTCCATTTCCCTGGCGCCTAACTAGGGGACTCTGCCCAAACCCTGGGTGAGGGCACAGGGCACCCTCACCTCCCATGTGTCCGACACGGGGGTAGGGAGCGCTTTAGGACTCCGGGAGCCAGAACCCCACAGCACAGTGGCCTCTGGATGCCTTTCTTGTCCTGGAAAGGAGAGGTGGCTCCCATCCAACTTGGGCTGGGGCTGAAAGAGAAGGAGTCCAGGAGCCTGAGGCCACTGTAAGTCCCTGCCTTTCCCTGTCCCCCTGTACTCGCCCGGGCTGCTGACTGTTCCGCTTCTTACTGATCATACGGAATTCTGAAATAAGAATATATGACTCTGCTATGCCCATTTCTCATCCTATATTGGTGTCCACCTTGATCATGAAATAGGATTTCTGAGTCAGTTGTACATCAGACCCAGCTGGGTGTTGACTCTGCCTGGATTTTCCATGTCCTTTTGGGGGATGAAGCAAATCTCCAGCTTAGTAGAATGTTTTCTGATCATTCTTCTCTTTCCATTTGGTGTTTTACTTTGGAAATTCAGGGTGTAGTAAAAGTGTCTGGACCTGTATTTATGTTAGGATTTAAAAAAATATAACTGATTTTTGGCAAAGGAAAAGAAGGCTGTGGGGAGGTGGACAACATTAATACAAAGAAAAAATTTTCTAGTTCATTCTCTCTACTAATTGCTGCTTTTACGTGCTAGATTCATATTGCCATAGTGTCCCAAGGGCTTATGGTACCAGGCAGTACTCTAACGGCTGAGCATACTTTCTATCCTTTACTCTTTACAGCAGTCCTAGCATGTAAGATCTGTTTTACAGATGAGGAAACTGAGGTACAAGAAGTTACTTGCCCAAAGGTACAGAGCAAGTAAGAAATGGGGCCCAGATGCTAATCCAAGCATTTTGACTCCAAAGCACTTGTCCACCCATAAACCACACACCCTTGCACAGACAGAGGTGGTAAGGAGAAGCACAAGCCAACTCATTTAGAAATAGCTCTGTGGAATATATGAACTTAATTTAAAGTGCGTGAATTTTTTCTAATAGTGTAAAGAACAATGAACATCTGATGCTTTCTCGGTTATAAGTCTATTTGTAGAGGGCACAGATAGTTCCTATATTGTAAATCACCATTTCAGGGGTTTTAGATGGCAGTTCCCACATAAGGAAAAACTTTTATGACACGGATCGTCATTGCATAGATTTGCATCTATGTCCAGCCACATTCCCAGCTCCATTATTTTATCTGGTAAAAGTCTGGCATGACACTGTGTGGAAGGTTAGCTCATGAGACAGAGGATGCAGGGGGATTTCACCGTGTTTTGTGCTTTGGTTTTGCAAAGAATCTGAGGCCTGACATGGGAAGAAGTTCTGGTGACTCACTGCCAACTTTGTTTGCTATAAAATGAGCTAAGAAAGTAATTTCTCTACAGAGGTGACAGAAAGCAGGAAACTACAAATTTACCTGGTGAATGGGATCAATGTGTCCAGATATTTCAGGTCTCAAACCCTTTTTTTTTTCTATAATACTAGGGCATTTATCTGAATATTCTGAGTTGTCACCATCAGTCAACTCAATTTTGTCTGGAAAGACTAAGCTTACATTCTTGCCATGTCTCTGGGCTCTCATTTTGCTATGCTAATGAAGGAATTCTGAAGGGTCCCTTAAGGGGTGAGTCTGCACATGTAAGTGGAATGGATCTTACTTAACATACCAGGGCTGTGCTTTTAGCCAGCTTCATGATCAGCCCAGTTTGCAGCACAACGGATTCGGCTTCTGTAACAATGACATCAGTCACCAGTGCTGCTACGCCTGCTGGACAGCCAAGCCGTGGCCCGGCTCATGGCTCGATGGGTCTGAGACATCACCTGGGGCCATCATATGACGTTAAAGCTGGTGGTTTCTAAAGGCTTTTTAATACAAGTAACATCAAATTTCATTTGATGAAATTGATCTTTCTGCCAACTTGACTCTCTTGCTTAAACTTTGGTGTTTAGCAACCTAGTTATTCTTTAAATTTGATGTTTTAGAAAAATGTAAAGTGAATTAATATATCCTTTTTGTCAGTGTTGTAGTTCTATGTGGAGGATTTACATCTGTATTAATCAGACAAGCTAAAATCATTGAGTGAGGTACACTGTTCATTTTATAATTTTTCTCCACGGACGACAAAGCATACCATGTCAGCAGCTGCCTAGTTTTAGCAAAAGGCTAAACCTATATTATATCCAGTGAATGGAGTTACATTATTTAAACTTAAATTCATTTTTTCTATTAAAAAATCCTCAATTCAATAAATTATAACATGTATTTTGAAATATTTGGGGAATGATCTTATCTGTCTTCTTTCATTCTTAAACAGCTGAATTAAAAACCTAAGTCCTACTAAATATCTTCAAAATGAGAAATTAATTATGGCGATACTTCCCCCTGTTTAAGTGAGAAAAAAAGAGTTGGGGCTTTGCCTGGAAGGGCATCATTTCAGAAATCCATTTGTTTTCTACTTCATTAAAAGCAATAAATGTGTGTGGTTATTCTGAGAGCTGCCATTTTCTAAAAATGCATTAAGACTTAACTGGACAGGTCGCATGACAAGCGCTCTCTAGGATTAGAAAGTACGATAGCTGTGACTCAGATGTAAGTGAATAGCCCGCTATTTATGAATTCTTCAGCAGTTAATTGGGATCATTTCCGTTGCACTGCAAGCAGAAGGCCGACTTTTCTTCCCAGTTACCCCAACTTCAACGTCAGTTCCCCGAGGAATGGAGTCTGTCCCACATGTTGGCTCTGATGGGGATGAGCCTGAGGGACTCTAAACTTTCCGTTGGATTTATCCCCTTTCTGGATACTATTAAATCACTCCTGCCTCAAGCAGAGGACTGGTCTTTGCTTCAAAGGCAGCGAAAGAGTGAATTATTTACCAAATTGCACAAAAGGGAGGATTTATCAAGCCCCTTCTCTCCCGGAGAAGACAACCTCAGAAGTGGAGGACTTTATTACTCTCTTTCTTGGCTATAAATTATGCCATTCAGATGCTCATGAAAGCTTCTCTTCATGCTCTTGCTTGAGTCATAAAACTTGATACCTGGGGCCAAATGCCTTTATTCCTCCCCCCCCCCCCCCAGCCAAGAATGAAGAAGATGAAAAGGCGGTAATTCTAGGCAAGTGTCACACGAAGCAATGACTGGGCAGAAAATGTGTGCAGTAGAGACAGTTCCTCTACATAATCCACACCTCCTTGACCTGCCTGATGTTCTCCTAAGTGAATTTTACCATTTGCATAAGATCATTGGACCCTCCAAAACCTGAATTAGCCACTTGGAAAGCGCTGGGTGTAACCAACATCACCAATTTGGTGGCTGTCATTACTGTTAACACTGGGATATTAGAATTTGTGAAAGTTAATAAAACAACTACTCACCTGGAGAGGATTTGCTGGGGCCCACGTTCTCTGGTTTCCTTGTAGTCATGGTACTTTTATGTTTTTGCTTGACAGATGTTTGGTCAATTGCTGGAAGTCTGGAATCACACTTCATGGCAGAATTCTTGATAGATAATCTTGGTTTGGCTAGAGGATCTTCCTCACCAGAACTCTATGGAAAACAACAAAAGTTTGAGTATCAGTGGCCTAGTAGGTCATTTTTGCTGGGCAAAGGAGAAAAAGACTAGCCAAATGCAGTGACCCCTCCATCAATAACTCTAGAGCAACCTGCCCTGCATGCTCAATATGCCCTTTTACCAGTGAGATTTTGATGGACTGGGTGTATCAATTTAGAAACAATAGCAAAGTGAATGAGTCTGTTTTGTAGAGCATTATACAAAGAAGTCACATTTATTGGTCTATTTTTGTAGAACATTATGAAAAGACTGCAATTCTGACCCTTAGTAATTTGATGACCAGTAAACAGCTCATGTTCAAAGCTGCATATGAAAGCAGGAGAGACTACCATAGTTTCTAAATTTCTTGTTATTTGTTATTTCAACTATTTTGGGGGTGGGTGAGGAAAAATATTCCTTGTGTTAATCATACACTTGAAAATAAAAAGGAAATTTAGATAGTGTGTTGGGACTGAACAAGTCAGACCTCAGTTTAATATTCTGAATTACTGCGTGCAACGTAAGACAGACTAATCTTTTAAGAAGTCCCCTACTTGTCATTCTGCTATAAAGAAGTCAGTATAAATCTATGCATAGACAAATCATGATTCCTGCTGTGTCAGAATATCTCAACACAGCTTTGCATACGCAGTAAAAGTTATCCAGGCATCCAATAGCTTGTACACTTTGCCACGCTTCCACTCACCAAAGAAAGGATGGAAACAGTGTAAATGGTTTATGAGGAACCTGGTCTTGAAGGGTGATTTAAGTCCTGCCTTCTGTTTTAGGTCCTGGTTTTAGTAGGATTTTCTAGGTGATACACTCGGCAACAAACAAAACCACAGCCATCCCCCCACGCCTACACCACATGCACACACACACCGGGAATTCCAACACTAACACTTAAATTCTCTCACACTGTGCATGAGTCTGGTATTGGAAAATGCAGTCCTTTGCAGACACAGGATGCTAAATTAATATCCCCCCTCACCTCCCCAGCTGTGGCAATTTGTATTGATCTTGCTCATCGGTCTCTCTGACAGTTATGGCATTTTCATTTCAAGGCTCCTGACTCAGGAAAATACTTCGACTAGCTTTGAATTATTGGGTGCAACATAAGACAAACTAAACTCTAAAAAATCCCCCTACTCGTCCATCTTCCGTAAAGAAGATCAAATCTACAGGTGGACAGATCGTTACCCTCCAAGACTGTAAATCATGTCTTGTAATTTAGAGTCTGGATACAGCCTTCCAACAAATAATTATTGTTTCTCCCTACATTTTCAGAAAACAGACCACCCTCAGATAAAGAGACAGGAAAAGGCAAGGACATAATGAATTGGTTGTTCTCCCCTTTCCTTTTCGATTCCGGAATTAAACAGAAATCCTTGAAAATTATTCTGAAATGTCAAAGATGAAACATTAGGTCACTTTTGAACATGAAATAGGCTCTCCATTCTCAGGAAAGGAAATGTGGCCAAATTATAATTATGATGCCTAAGATTGTCATAGGCAAGAACATCATGAGTGAGCATGGGACAGCATTCCTTCCACAAACTGCCCCACACAAAAAACGCACAAGAGTGGGTGGAGAATTCTTTGCTTGCCTCAGGCAATGGGAAGCTGGGAGGAGTTGGTGAAGAGACTTTATTAGATGGGGTGCTGAGCCATGTTTATTTTTTCTTCACCCGTTCGTTCATTATGCCATAAGCCTTTAGTAGAACCAAAGAGGCAACAGAAAGCTTGGCCAATTTGACCATACCTATTGCATATGGAATTGTGCACCTGTGTCCCGAGTATATCATCTCTGTTTCCTGGTTCCATCAACCTTACTTCCAGTTGGTAATCATTCAGAGTCCAGAAATTGCAGCTGGGAGTGGGGATTTTGTCAGTTAGAGACTAAATCTAGAGTGGCAAGCACTATAATACTTATGAATGTGCCACTAAATCTTTCATTGAAGGATCTTAAGCAAATCACTTGGAACTTTTGTGTCTTTGCTAATGTCTTCTCCTGTACTCAGCCATTTTTATTTATTCTTTCTCATGTAAATTCATCATATTTGTGGGGAGAAGGATCCTTGGTGGGGCTGGGTGGGGGGAGAAGCCTTTAGTAATTCATTCTGGCACTAAAGTGAGGTGTTTAAGACTCAGAGGACAGCTTCCTGGGAGTGCACCCTGGCTCTTTCATGTATTTTTGTGTGACATTGGGTTAGTTCCTCTTTGTGTCTCAGATTTTCTCACCTGGGAACAAGGGTGTATACCGGTTGGTGGTTCTGTGGGGATTACATGAGTTAAGATATGTTTATGGCACTTAGAATAGTGCCAGGCAAATAGTAAGTGCTATGTAAGCGTTGGCTTTTGCAGTGAGCTGTTAGTTCATGTTCAGCCATTTCAAAAAGTAATGACTGAACATTGCCCACTGTTGAAACCAAAAGCCAAAAGCTCCAGTGAAAATACCAGTTGGAATACCAATAGGTATCTCACAGAGGTATGAACAGAGAGGTGGGTGAGTCTCTACAATGGACTCTTCATTTCTTCTGAAGGCTATTTATGATAGTCTTAAAAGTAGCCAGTTGAAAATATGGTACAATTTCTTTTTTAGACGGTAAACCTCTAATGGCAAATATTTAACAACATTTAGAGATTCTTGAACAATAATAATTATTTTGATTTAAAGTTGATTTTAAAACTATGTTTTTTCATCTTGTAATTTTGAACAGTAATTACAATTTTCACTTCTTCCCCCATATGTTCCTAAGTTAAAATGTCACATGGAGGTGGAGGCAACAGCACATTACTATTTCTTTGGGGGAAGAAAACAAGCTCTCTCAAAAGTCAAAGCCTAAAACATAAATAATAAAATAAAAACACAAAACTACTGATACATGTGTTTACTTTAAGTTCCCTATTGGTAATTTGATGAGAAAGTCCTAATAAAGTCATGTTAACTAAAAGAAGTTATTGCAATCAATAGTTTCTGGAATATTATTATTTTTGTACTTAACATTTTCCAAAGATTCCCAATTTGTGCCTCTGGCCTCATCCATATAATGTAAGACGCTGCCTTGCCCAGAGCTAGGCTCTCTCATGCGATCAGAGGGGGATGCACACTGGGAAGAGAAGAGGCTTTCAGCAGGGCATGTAAGCAGCTCTGGACACTGCAGTAACAACTTAGGGACTTTAGTTGCTAAGTTCTGGTTAGGTCCTAGAAAGTGGAGAACCGAGTGTTCCTCAGGGATAGGAGATGAGTAGATTTTTAAATTTTTATTTGTAGAAGGGAGTGGGGATCAACATTGATTTGTTGTTCCACCCATGCATGCATTCGCTGGTTGACTCCAGTATGTGCCCTGACAGGGGACGGAACCCTCACCCTTGACATATCAATATGATGTTCTAACCAGCTCAGCTACCTCGCCAGGGCAGAATGACTCAGTTTTTAAACTGGGACTTAACAACGTTGAGTCTGAAATGGCCATGTGACAATGAATAGAGATGGTCAGAAGAGCAAGGAGACTAAAGCAGTCAGGGACAGAAAAGGTGGAGTCATTTTCCAATTCTTGGTTCATTTCCAACACCCAGGGAGCTGGTTCTCAACTGGTGTGCCCCACCCCACCCCAGGGTGTGCTCGTGAATTCAGATCGATGTGTACAAAATCCATTTTTGCCATGTGTCATGTGACAGACGGCTGAGCTGAGTGGATCTTATGACATAGTATAGATCAGGGCAGGACCTGCTGTGAATAAGAGAGAAGAGGCAAAGAGCGTGTCAGGCTGATGCCAGAGAAAGACTGTGTGTTTATTACGTTTGAAATAAATGCAGTCTCATGAGGTTCTGAAAGAGTGTGATCAAGGCAGTGAACCTCAACACTCAAACAGCAACAACATGGAAAGGGTGGCCAAGGGACTGTGGATACAAATGAGTATTTTCAGAGTGCTGTCCCCAAAGTCCACACTCAAATTGTGCCTCAAACAGAAGACTGCCTTGGGGAATTGAGGGCAGCGTGTATAAATAGCATTCTGGATAGGATGGATACCTTTATGTATTCAAGAAATATAAAGTTAGTATGTTCTATGCAGAGTGCTGCTGTAGCACAAAGTGGGCTAAATTTTCTCTCGTCCAAAACACCCTCTAAGAACAGCGAAGTCCTTCACATATTCAGGACAATTTTGAGCTTACCAGGACTGCAAATGTGAACAACAATTAAACACAAGGATTAATAACCTTTATGGGTTTTGTTTGTTTTTGACTCAGGTCCCACCTACCTAACTCAAATGGCTGCTTAGCCCCATTTCTCTCTCCCAGTTGAAGATTCAGGTGCCAAGTGGGGTTGGCAAGACCAGGATCAGCAGGGGAAGCCCTTGCTCTATTTGCCGCAAGATGCTTTTTGGAGTCAGCTGGGCTCCTGTCTCTACCATTGACTTCAATAGAGAATTTTCCTGCCACCTCCTCTCTGATCATCATGCTGGCAAAGTGGAATGACCCAGCCTGGGACATGGATCTGAGAGAAACAGTGGCCTCAGTGACTAAAACCTTTGTAACGTTAGGTGACCACTGGGTCTCCTCTCTGAAGAAGAGGGACGTGGGACTTCAGAACTTGCACCGTGATTACTGTCCATCTCACTATGGAACGGGCTCTGGGTGAAGCTTAGAGCTAACCCCTCGTGTGCTGCAGAACTCACGGTCAGTTTACATGTGTGGTGGCCACACATTTTTATATTTTGAAGACAAGTGTGTACTGTGTTCTCTGGGACGGAGTTCTGGGTGATATGTGGTCAGAACTGTTGGGTTTAAAAAATTTGGACACTGAAATGTAGCGTTTAGCAGCAGGTTGAGACTGCCCTCAATTAGGCATGGTTTTGCTACAATGTATGTATTTCTCTTTCTTCCTTTATCTCAATTCATATTCTCCTTTTAGCTGGGAGGAGCATCTGAGGAATGCGGAAGACATGATCCATCAGATCTCATCCATGAAAATACCTCCTACTCAAAACAATAG